TGAGAAATATAACATTACTGGCACAAGTTTAGCGGAGCGCTGCACATACTTTCTTTGATGACAAGCTTGATTCGAACTAAAAAAATCCGTCCAACGATCATAAAAGATAATTTTTATAAATGACAAAGAATAAAGTGGTTAGAAGATGTGTAGCAGTAAATGATCGTGGCAAAATAGTATAAATGGCATTGTGATATACTTACTGTACTTGGTACAAAATACCAATGGTAACAGGTAATCCAGATTTAGAGGATTTGACACTTGATTCCACTTCCTGCGCTTGTGCCAAGAAATCAATTGCTGATCATTGAACACTGTGTGTGTCGCCACCAGACACAATCATAATCACTTTACGTTGCAAAGAAAACGTTGCGCGCAGAAATGTGTAAACAAACGCTTGTTTACGAGTTGGAAAGTGGGAGGGATCAATAGTGAATCTTGCAAACAGCAAGCGTCCACAGACATCGAGGACAGACCTGTGCTTCCGGCAGCCCAAGTCGTTCTTTGAATCGTTTCTCAAATCTTGAACTTACATCTGAAAATATTTCGCTTCTATGTAATGTCATGCCTTGCCCTTGCAAAAGTTATGGAGGACAAAGTCAGACTGGTCATTCTCAAGAACTCGCTTCTCCACCCTTCCAATAGTTCTGCTTGTCCATTTCAGGACAATGATTCAGTCAATTATCTCCGCAATCAAAGGTGAATTGCCGGATCTGAGCGATCTACAGCTAGCAGATTATAAGAAAGAAAATGTAAGCAGAGTTGTTAGAACCTTGCTTCACAGATCACTATAAAATTTATTTCAGAACCCAAAGGTGCTCAACATGTCGAATGGCTGCCCAATCTTTGACAAACGAAATGCTCTCACTGTTGGACCAAGGTGATTTGATTTAGTCTTGATCTTTTTGGATGCTTATGAGCGTTTTGCAGTGGACCACAACTAATGGAAGATATCGTTTATTTGGATGAGATAACTCATTTCGATCGTGAGCGAATTCCAGAGCGAGTGGTGCACGCCAAAGGAGCAGGTAAGGCATAGAGACCACGCAAAATTCTCGTTTGTATCGAGCAGTCTTCTGAATGAAATCTTTTGTCCTGTAATGTGAGCAAGGGTTTCTAATATTTTATACAAATATCTTGCGCATAAGTGCTTCATATTCTATGTACATTCTTCCTATTCCTTGCACATACAGCCGGGCAACTCGCTTGCACACGTTGCATGAGGTCCTTTAGTTTACCCTGGATAGTCCAAGCTACGAGATTCTTCGTTTAACTTGCTTTCAGCGCATACTCTATGTAGCCGAGGTTGTACTAATACAACATCAGCATGCTCACAGTTGCCCATAGAAAGCCAAGACTTCTTCCACTACACTGTCATAAAAGAAGGTGTAGAAAAGCAGACAGTGATGAGGGTGACCTTGACTAAAAGCTTTCGATTATAATGTAGTCCAGATTTCTCTGAAAACTTGATGAATATTTTTCAGCACTTTTCGTGATATATTTGTAACCATTGCATTTCTTTAACATAAGCGTTTTCAAGATTTACTAACTGGTTCACGACGTACCTCGTCAGAAGCGATACATACTCAAACTCTGCTACTTTTCATATTTCTTTCTCAAGAACTGAGCGATGACAGATATATTATCTCAAAGCTGGGTTTCGATGGTTGGCCAGTGCTGGGTAAAGGCCACTGCAAAGCCTCCCCGACCGCTGAAAATCTTTTGCCCTGATTACCGTTCATCTACCACTGACGAAATCGTTTGGATTTATTGTTTTACCTTTTTTGCTAGTACTAGTTTTTTCTGGCCCGGTTTGTATAGATTCAGAATAAGCTCAGCTTTTCGGTGTTGCGCTTCGTTCATCTTGACACCTTGCCAGTTTCAATTTTCTTTCCGTAGAATCCTTTGTAGGCTGCTCTAATTTGCTATTGGTGTACTTATTTTCACTCGTGATTATCAATCTGTAGTTAATTTCTTTTCGTGTGCGCCATTAGCTTTAATCTTCTTTAGATATCTTCTTCATATTTGGCTCATTTGTGTACGAGGATTGTAATCCAGCTTAATGTCAAACATTGTTTATACCCACCATGTTGTTAAAATGTGGTTGGCAATTGCTGAGCTTTTGTTTCCCTCACGGTGAATCTTACCTTGCTTGTGGCGGTGCTCTCTGGATTTATTTATGAGATGAAGCTATTGCGCTGTGATGATCATCGCTCAAAAAAA